CAGCGTCGAGGGCCAGCCACCGTCGGAAAATTTCGTAACCGTATTGTCCATTGGTAGCGGTAAGAAAGAGGATGAACCTCCTCTACCTGTAACTTTGACAAAGAACCCAAGCAACGGAGTCGATGGACCACTCGAGGAAGAAGTCGAAGTGTACAGATTACCAGGAGAGCGATTAGGCTTTGGATTGAAGTTCGAAGGAGGAAATAAGACGTCTGAAAGGGTTAGGAGGCTGTTTGTTCAGAGCTGCGCGGAACAAAGCCCGGCCAGTAGAGCGAAATGTTCGTGGGGTACTTTGGGAGAGGGTGACGAGGTAAGGAAATTGTCGAGTTTTGCTAGTACCTACTAAGCCTTCTTTCCTAATGCTTTATCTAAACGATGTTCCAACTCTAATTTTGTAAAACATTAAGGAAAAATAAGGAAAAATATAGGGAGCAAAGCAGTTTGTATTTGTCACGTCTTTACGCTAAATTAGTCGCGCTTATGCTCTATACGCTAAATAAGATAAATATCCAGGTGTCCTGTTTCTTTGTAACCAACCTGTATGTTTAAAGATAAAAGCATTCTTAAGTCGTTCTGTGCTTCTCGTTCGGTATTAGACTTAGACTTCTAGTAATTTTAACGAACGTTAAGAGGGTGGATTGAACGAACTGATCACTTCTCCGTGTCACGAGTGACGTTTATAATTTTCGAGACCCAGTTGCCGCGTAACGATTCCCAGGAGAAGCGGTTTGTTTCTAGGAAAGAACAGGAGCAAGAAACGAGCTTGCCGCATCATCTCACGTGCGCACACACCGGTCATGTTACCGTGTCTCTTTTCCAGGTACTCTCGATAGACGGTGTACCAGTGACACACATGACTCGGTTGGATTGCGTGAGGCGATTGAAGGAGTCACAGCTAGTTATCAAGCTAATGGTTAGGTGCAGAGGAGCGCTCAGGCCCGAAGTGGTGAGCGCTGAGAAAAAGAGTTCACCGGAGAAAAACAAAGTGCCGCCCGAATTGCCATCGGCGCCTCCGCCTGTACCGCCGCGAAAGTTGAGGCAAGCTCGAGGCTTGGCCGACGGCGAAGCGAACCCGAGTCCTGTCAAAAAATCCTGGAACGGATCCAGGTCGCAGAGTAGCTCGCACACTATTTCGCAGACGAGTTCGCAAAATAGTTCTCAAAATGGATCACCCAGCACGCAGCTAGCCAATCAGCTCGACAGCAAGTCGAGTCCATTCGATAGCTGCGAGGCTTCCCCGAAAAGCAATGGATCCGTTCAAGAAAGCCCGAAGGGATCGCCCAAGGAACGCTCGCCCGAATTCGCGAAATCGAAGCAGGTGAAGTAACGATGAAAATAAAACGCTCGAAACAACTAGAGGATCGCATTATCGTTTAATGGCCGTTTTAAACTTTATTTTTCTCGTAGCATCATAAAGATAACGCATCGATCTATCACAAGTATCGCAAAAATATCATGTCGATCTAGCACGTGGTAGCCACTTTGGCGCCTATCCGTCCGAATGGCGAAGTAGAATCATCGATTCGGTAGCGATTCTCTAGTCGTTTTAAGCGATGTATCTTATTTTTCTTCGATACGATCAACGAATATTAATGTCTGTACATTCGCAGGAACCTCCAGAAGCGATGGTATACGTGGACGCCAGGTCGCAATGTGGCTCGACTCACGGAAGCACGTCAGACGACACAGGTAGCTCGATGTCAACAGTGATCGATCGATTTTCAACCTCGGACCGAGTATCCACAATTTCAACTGCCTCGACTGCTTCCACAACCTCCGAGCAGCCGAACGAATTCTCACGAATCGACCAAGACTTCGACCGATCCTCGGACCGCGACTCGCAACTGTCCAAGGCGATTTGTCCATTCGAGAACCTGGACGATTACTCGTCAAACCCTCCCGATTACCTGCTTCGCCGTCTAGCTAGCTCGGAAGCAGTGACCCACGTGGAGTCGCGAGGAGAAGTGGAGAAGATCACCGCGGTAGTGGCACCGAACACTGTGCTGATCGAGGAAACGATCACCTTTCAGCCGCCGTTGAGCTTCCAGGACGCGCCGTTAAGCTACGGCCACGAAGCCAGACCTGATCTTTTTTACACGGCCGATCTGGCCGCCGACTCGACGACGCATTTCAGGCCAATTAAGGACGACGTGGAGCTCGTCGAGCGCGTGAACAGCATCCACGAGGAGTTCCACGCAACGAGCTCCTCGAAGGAGCTGGAGAAGCACAAGGAGACGTCCAGCGGACGAAGTTCGGACAGGACGCCTCCGCCTCTGCCGGCGAGGAATCACGTAAACAGGATCAGCGTCAATCAACCGACCAACGATCGCGCCGTCGACTCGCGTTCCCAGAAACTGTCCGACCAGTCCTCCATCGAGACTTCCGACAGCCAGGATGCACCTGTTCTACCGCCCAAGCCGCTACCCAGAAGAGACGTCAAGATCAGACGGAAGAGACCACCTCCGCCGCCGCCGCCACCCACGATCGTGCCCCGAACCGAGGTCAAACCCTCCTCGTTACCCGAGTCCAGGCAAACGAGTTTCGAGGAGGACGACGAGCCACCGCGCCTCAACGCTGACATCACCAGCAGCAAACTGGACGAGGTTGTCGTCAGGGCGAAGCTCGAGGACAGATCGAAGATTCACGACAGACGAGATTTAGAAATGAATCCGACACTATCGAAGAGTTTCGGCGACGAAGCTGGAGATTCGGAGAAGAAGAGAATCGAAGAAACGGATGACACCGAGTCTATGGAGGACTATGATCCTCGAGAGGACGAAGGCTTCAGGACGAACAAGGTGTTGGAGATAATCGAGATAAGGAAAGCGAAAGCGTTCTCGCCTCGCAGGGCGAATTTAACGATGCGCGAGGACGACGAGGAGAAGAGTAAATGTAAAATTAATGATGATGAACGAAGAAATGATGATAGTGAAAGGACGAAGGTAATAAATGTGAGTAACAGTAACTATCAGCAACCGGTAAGACCTAAACCAGAGCTTAGGACTTCACTTACGATTTCAACTGAAATAGAAGATTCTGACGACGAAGGAGAACAGGTTACGAAGTTTAATGAGCCGATAGATGAACAGGACGATAAGAAGGACGTTAGAAACGAGAATTTGGATCAATTTGGTTCACCGGTTAAAGCTGATATACTTGGACGACGAGAAAGCAGCGAAAGCGAGGATTCCTATCGATCGTGTAACGATATTAGCGTGCATAGTCTAACGAATAGCTGTACCCAAAACAACAAGGAAATTATGGACGAGGAAGACACGAGCGAAGAAAGCGACGACGGAGATTATTACTGGCAGAGCAACTTGGCGACGATTGGCGAAGAGGAGGAAACGAATTCTCTAGAATATACGAATCCGTGAGTCTTCGAGTCTTCATCTTCGTTGCGTTTTAACCTGTTAATCGGGTCATGCTTTAACATATTCGCAGCTACTAAGGTACGGCTGGTCCTTTGCAGCTGCATCTTTCTTCTTATGTAAAAAATTTTGATTTCGAAAAGTATGTTATTTATATATATACGTAAATATTATTTTAATACATTGATCGTTGTTCTGTGTTTCATCGAAATGCACGAACTCAAAAACATGACACAATAGTTACGTTAGCAGCATCGTAGCATAGTCAGTAGCAGCGAATGTGTTAAACAAACACTTCTTTAATCAGGAAAATAAGAATAAATACGGACAAATCAATTAGGTCGATTTTAGTTCGTGCTAATGTAAATTATAGTAGAATCTTTTTCAGAAATATGAAAGGGCAGGTAAAAAGATAAGGGATCCCTATATAAAACCATTATTATATCTAGAAGATATTGAGTTACAAATTGAGTTACCAGTTAACTCGTCTTCCCGGTTTAACTGATTAAAGTATAACTTGTCTGCCCACGGTAGACTCCTTTCTAATGAACTTTCACTATAATTATGATTAAAGTAGTACCATTACGCGACTACGTTAGGCTATTTATCTCTGGATTCTGCTGCGCTCCTTCAATTCTAGTATCTCAATCTCACATTCGTTTCTATAGACAAAAGTCCTTTTAACCAAACGTTTCAAACAAATCTTTGCGCATAAAGTTCCAACGTGAAACTACGTTTCTTTCGTTTCATCTTGAAGCTCAATAGATTGTTTAAGGATAGAAAAACACCCAAAAGAAAATCCAAAGATCGGAATTAACGGACGACTTAACTTTGACCGTTTCAACGCGGATGTTCCTTTTAACAATAAACGTAATAACACAATATTACAAATTATAATACAAATAGTTTAAAAAATATATAGCTCGATCGTGATATCTTAAATGGAATACTTAGTTCCATTTTTCTATATGCCGCGCTTTTTGCGAGCAAAATATTCCAAGAAAGAAGATATCTGAAGAGATACGACCGTGAAGAAGAAATAAAGAGAACAGCAAAGTTGAACAATTTCTCGCACCAGTCGTAGCGAACGATCCTTGTCGCACTTTGCTGGTGTCGATCCACGAATTTGAACGAGGTGGAACTTTTTAGGATTGAACAATATGTTTGGCGATAAACGTGTCGTTCAACTTGGCGAAACCAGTTCTCGAAACAGGGAACAAAAGCAGTGTTCGTACGCAATGATCGGTCGCGAGATACCTCCGATCAGCTGCCTGATTTTACTCCAAAACTGGTCTCGGTGTCTTACTACGAATTATCAAAGTATACCATCTACTAGATTTTACCGGAATACGCTTTTCGCGCCGATCTGCTATCTTATTCACAGTGTTTACGTAGGAAGCAGTCTAAGTAGGTAGCAGTTCACAGTACATTAATTCCCAACTATGGATCGCGTCGAGAAACCTCACGCGGTGAGGTTCTTTAATTGTGAGCAAATTGCGCTTCCGCCCTGCATTTCCCTAGTTTGCCACGATTAACATGCCCGCCACGATTTATGCTTGCAAAACGCTACTCGTGTTTATTTATAGCACGATCGAACCACGCCTCGCTCGATGCATAATTGAGTTATTAGGTCGTTTCGTAAGCTTTGTTGGTCTTTTGTGGAAAGCTTGATAGAGAATTGGGAAAATGTACGTTAATGTTCGTTGGTGTATTCTCGAGAAGTTTGTTTGGAAAATCGAAGAAAAGTTTCGAGATAACGTATCTTCGTAGGAATTGGAATAGGATGTAACTTCATAGGAATAGGAATGTATGCGCCACTTAAATAAAGTATTATAGGAATGTTTTTCTGCTTACTAAGTAGCCTCGTAAATTCTTTTCCAAAGAACTACTCTTCTTGAATGATTCTTGTAGGATTATGAATGGACCATTAACCGATCTCGAACGTCTTTTCTTAATCGTTACATTGAATGATCAACCGGAAACTCATTGCTTCGACAACAATACGAGATGTTAATTATTTTTGCCGATAAATCAATGAATAGTTTTGTACGTTAAGAGTGTAAAAATTAAATACTAATTAATTAAGAAAATAAACAACTAAAAGGCGATGATACAGATACGAAACGATGCTCCATTAAAAGTCGATAATACGAAAGGAAACAAGTTAAATGAAATAACTTAATAGTATTGGATGTTCAGTGTTTTTGCAAGTTACACACGTCTTTCCTCCATTTAATTTCGAGCCGTTTGATCGGCACGAAACCGATACGATGAATAGATGGAATCGATCACGCACGTGGCATCGGTAAGCGATACAATAAAATCGAAAGCGAGCGATTAACATTCCAAAAGATTCTGCTGGATTCGAACGAAGCGTGTTTAAGTGAAAGGGTGAAATTTCAGAGGGCTGTAGTTAGGTTGAGTAATGGTATGCTTCCAAACACCATTTGAAAGATTTCGGTCATTTTGCCTGGCGTGCTACGTAAAGAGAGTTAACTGCCCACTTAGCTAACGTAAAAGGATTCGATATGCGGAAACGAAACAGCACGGACTATCCCATTGACTTCGTTACAATTGCGTGTCTGCACGAAATACAATCCTACACAAAAATGTTATTAGGTTGTAACATATTAAATGTCAGATTCTGTTGTATCGATCTTCGAGATCTCGTAGATCATTTCGTATATCATTTTAAAATTAAGATTTTTCTCTTCCTTACAACCAATATCTGTGGCTTAACAATCAGACACTTCTTATTCCACAGCCTAATACCTTTAATTTCAAACAACCATTAAAATTCTTTCACGACTTGCTCGATTGATAAAGACTATTTTTATTTATTTCCGATTAATATGAATTACGTTTATTTATTTTGTTTCGCAGGAATAAAGAATCGAACGACAGCGGGGCAAACGCCGTGGGAAAAACAGAACGACAGGAATTACCGGGCAAGGAAAACAAATTCGATGCAAATGGTAAGTAAGAATAAAGCGATGTCTTCGCTATTCTCTTGCTGTCTATTTTGATGTTGGGAAAAGTTCCGCTTGGCAAATTAAAACACGCGTTCGGGGTCAGTACAGAACAATTAAGCGTACTGTCTGGGAGGGGGTTCTATTAAAATCGCTCGAATCAGTCGATTACGTCCATTAACAGTGCTAACTGCGCAAAAATGTTAGCGCCGGTATCGCTATTCGCGTTGACCCGCATTTCCTCTAATTGCCAAGTTTCTCGTCTCGCAAATACGTGACTCTTATCTGCTATCAAACGAATCAGCTTCATTAAAATGAATCAACTGGTCCTACCCTCTCTCTCTCTCTCCCTTTCTAACATATCGTACGATGTAGCCCCGAAACAACTACAAATTGAAACGACTCCTTAGAAGTAATGCCGGAATTAATAAAATTCGTAATCCGCTTGTCTTCGTTAAATTCATTGAATTAAATTCATTGAATTCGTAAGAAACGAAACAATAAATATTGATTCGTCTCTCTGTGTTAAAAATATCAAAATATCGATTGTTTCAACATCGTACAATCTTTTCACGAATAATTATTAAATAGTTGAAAGATGTAGAGTAAAAAGATTACGAAATTTTTATCTTCTTCGCTTGCTGCACACCTTTGGCTAATAACTATGCAGTTGATGCGACCTTAACCTTTGATAAAAAAAGAAAAGGATAAAAAGAGAAAAGGAATTTGCTATCTCGAACGACACGAGAAGTCGACCAGAGAGAGTTCGTTTGAACTCTGTACGCAAAGGTTGAGAGCTGGAAGGCTAACGTGGCGAAGGAATTCGCCAGGGCAGAGAGAATACGCGACACGCACGCCCACGCACGCGTCCCTTCGCCTCGCCGCTCGGCGCGTCGCGTCGCGTCGCGTCGCGCTTCATAAAGGTTACGCATTAATCTCGGTGCGTTACGCACCGCTAAGGTTCTCCGGTTTCGCGCGTGTGCACGCCAGCGAGCATTCAAAACGGAGGCAACTCTCTCGAGCGAGAGACAAAGGCGTGTTTGCCTGGGCGCACCTTCGACACGAGGAATTCCTGCCTCGGCTCGATCCACGCCGAGCAGATCCGCCGCTGCTACTCATTGTCCGCCAAAGATGGATCGCGAGTATCGCGAGACTTACGTGGGAAATCGAAGGCACGGAGATCGGTGTGGCTAGCGACCGTCTCTTACGACCTCTTCTAAACACGCTAAAAATATCTCTCTCAACTAGCTGGATGAACGTTGAATGAACTCTGGAGTTTATGGACCCCAGTTACGAAACACGCTTAGAAACGTAGTATGTAGCGTTAATCCATTATGGATGAAACAGTGGAATACGTAATGTGTGGATAAAGGCTGTAGGATATTACGAAATTGTAAATAGGAAGCTGTAAGGAAATGAAGTCAAATTATCGATATAAATGAGAAACAGAAGAAAAATCTCCATAATCGAAAAAAAGAAATATACGAAGATAAGAAGAGAAAGTTAGGAGCGTTTTATAGAAGGACAAGGTTTGAAATTCCACGTGTTATCCACCACCTCCAACGATAGATTAACAACACCGAGCGTGTATTGTAAGAAATCTTCTCTAGTTTCAAAACGCTACAACAAAAGAGGTGGTATAAATAGAAGCTAACAACACCAAGCACATGCAACAAGAAAATACCATTAACTCGAGAATTGTTGAAGTATTTCATACCACGATACACTGTCGCTCACAGTTATTCACGCGGTACATATGTTTCATCTTTTTCCATAAAACGATGTTAGATTTCTTTTACGAAATGACATTTGAAAGATAATTCTGTATCAAAAGTTCAAAACATAGCACTAAGAAAAATATACGGAAATAGATTGGCGACAGAAATTTTCTGAAATTATACGCAAAAGTACTACAAAATAGAAAAATATATTCTTCCCTATCAGTATATTCCTGACAAAAAAAAAAAAAAAGGAATATTTCGCCATTATTTTCCGACTTTCTGAATTATGTACCGTGTGTCGCCGGGTTAACTAGACTCGTTTGAAGCGCGTGCTATCGCGGCAGCGGCTTTTAATCCAACGTTCCTATTGTAGAAAAGGCGCGCAGTAATTGCTAGGCTGGATGTACCGGATGTCGATTATCGTGGGCGTACGCGCGATCATTTACACTCGGTGCATTATTACTCGGTGCAGCGCGCCTCGTGATCCAGTAAATGGTGTACGACCGAGATGTTTTCGCACCTCTCGCGAACCGCGCGAGGGTAACCAACGTGAGCGTCTCGTATTTTAGCTAGCGCGTTAACACAGGAGAGGATGCTAAGAGGAAAGCTAAAGACTAGCCTGCAGCTTCTAAATATGGATTCCGACGGTTCATTTATAATTGAAGTTCCGCCGGGGAAAAGCGAGCGGAGCGGTCATTAATTTTTGCATACAGGGGATCAACGTGTGTGCGTGGCGACCAGCCGTTGCTCGTTAAATTTCTCGGGAAAGTGGTTTCCAAGGAGCTGCGGGCGATTTCGTCTTCATAGTTGAAATTGTACGCGCGAAGGTTTAACGTTTTGAGATTCCAAGACCGACGATTCCGAGCCGCGAAAAGAAATAAGGAAACTCCTTTCGATCGATAATCGGCGAGCACCACTCCTCGAAAGTGGATGCTCGATCGCGGTCGGTGGGTGTGAGAACGAAACCGTTAAGAATAATTCAAGAAGTAGCAAGTAGGCAAGGCGAAGGAAGGTTAGGCAAGGAAGGCATACCGAAGTTGGTCAAGTAGCAGCTACTTTGCACAGGCTAACGATGAACCAGGTTTTTAGGATCCTATTAAACGCGAGACTTTACGACCTACGGATAAATACATATCGTCAGTGCGTTACTTTCAAGCGGCTTGTTTAACTTTTCGCCGTATTTACCGAACGAAACGCGAAATCGTTGACATTCCTCCCTTCACCGTTTCGATTCGTTCGCCTTCCGACCTTGCCGCTCCTTAAATAGAACCACCCATGCCGCTCTTTCCAATATTTTAATTTAATCCGCGAGCTACGAAATCGTGGCAGCAAAAGGAGAACCCGATATAAGATCAAGGTTCCGGAGAACACAGAGTTCCGTGTCGATTCGGTCTCCAACGATCGGTTGACGCGTTTCTAACCCGAGTGAACGTCAACCGTTTGTTACGTAAAGCATCGGATAATCGGGAGAAATGATAAATGGTCCATGGAAAAGGAACAAGAGATATGCGCAGGCGGTCGTGTCACCGCGTTCCATCAGGTGAGCCTGCTGGCCTCTCGGCGACCAGAGTTGCGCTCGGTTGCGAGTGTGGGTGGCTAGTCAGGCTCTGTCAGGGCATAGTAGTCACAACAATATGGCGGTCGCGCATACCCAACTCCAGTGTTCACCGTCTGGTTTCTCGAGCTCTCGCAGTGGCTGACCGCGCTCAAGGTCCCCCATTCCCCCTTAATCGCCTTCCTTTTCGAGATCTTTCACTTTGGTTCGTTCCCAATCGAAGAGACCGCAATCTCTGGCCATACACGCGTATTGACTATGAATCCTGAACGGAGGAGACAGCATTCCGCACCGGCAGCCTCTTGACGTTGCGCACACAGTATCCTGACCTAAAGATAACTGGCTCAGCCCGCAAATCGCGTCATTGTTCGATAATCGATCGATTCCGTAGCGAGCCTCAGCTAATGCGGCAACTTAATCATTCTTTCGCAAACGATCTTTCCACGCGGTAGAATATAGAAAAAAAGAGTATCGCTGTAAACGCGAGATACGTTGCATAGTATCGTCGAGTCGAAAGCAACTCGGTTCGATCGCGTTAATAGCAATCCCCGAGACTTTCTCTCCGTACGTTTAATATTCGTGCGCTTATAATGAACGCGCACACTCGGTCGCGTCGATGGAAAACGTCATCGGAGATCATATTAAAAAGGTTATAACGCATCGACTGGCAGGGTGTGCACGAGTTGGCGATGCATTAACCCAAGACCTAAACATAACTTGTCAGGGGAATTGCTCGTTCCCTATTCGGTTCGAGGGAACCGGTCACGAACGATGATTAGTCGAATCAATCATTCGGAGAAACTATTGACGATAAATCGGCGAGGTGGAAGGCTCGAACCGCTCGCGCAACGATTCCTCTCGAAGCATCCCAGGGCTTAGCCATGACGGAAGATGGTTTGCCGCGCGGATAATTATTAAAGTCACGGTCAAATAACGTGGGTGATCGATGCGCGCGTGCACAGCCAAGTCGCCGCTCGCGAATTCCTCTTTCCACGGAACTGAAATTAGATCGTTCGGTTTTATTTATTGCACGGCTCGGCGAGTAACTCAGTCGCGACGATAGGCGAGCTGGAAGATCTGCCGGCTCGCAGCGGGAACCGGTTGGTCACCGCTTTAAAAACCGTTTAGTCGAAAGGATCGTTGTTTAACCGTGGCGCGCATAATCGTAAGATGAATGAGCGAAAGATACGACCGGGGACACGGCATCTCGTTCTCGTTGACGCGTCCGCGTAGTAAATTCGCCGGAAGATTGCCTTCGGTTCCAATTTATGCGATATTAATCGATCTCTCCGCGGTCGTTAGATTTTAGCGAAACTATACTCGGACGATCGAACGCGTAAAACCATTCTCCACCGCCTTAATATTTTTCTTCTAACGAGACTTTTACGATCGTTCGATCCCTGAGGGAGGATCCATCGTGCAGATATCGGTCGCAAACGGCATAAATTCGTGGCACAGAGGAGATCGAGTATGAAGAAACGAGCGACTGTTGCGTGCAATAAACTGGTCGAAAAAGAACTCGTCGAGAAAACGCGTTTCGCCGGATGATCGAAGAACCGAGAATCCATCCCGGAAATCCAGCTACGACCGTTCCATTCGATCGTCCCATTCGAATATCTGGCGAATACATAAGCAACGTTGGCAATGGCGAAAGCGTAAGAACAGCCAATGACACGACGGAGAGATAAAAAAACCACGCTCGTCATTATGCTCGATAGAGAATGCAGGCA